GTAGTGTGGCTAGATGGGCATTCAACACCCAAATGCAGGTTGTGTTGTGTTATGTTGATTTATTGAATTAATCGTGTTACTCCTAAGACAACGTCTGTGACTCAGTTAACCTCACTAAACCTATATACCATGGACGTGCGGTTAAGGGAGGCAAGGGATGCACAGCCTCATCTCTCATACTCAAATGAAAATAGCTGTTCCGAAAAGTAAAAAATAATCATATTTTTCCATTGATCTATGTTGTCATTTCTGTATGATTCCAATTACATTTATTGTCAAAATCGCTAAATTTCTGCTGCAAATACAGGGAGAGACGAGAGGCGAGGTAGCGATGAGCTCAATGTCGCCTCTGAATGCGGAAACCCTCAGAAACTGGATGGAGTGCAGGCAATAAGCGTGTGCCTGTTACTATCTCTCTGTCATGTTTGGTATCATACAGAAATGATATTTACAGCACAGATCAATGGAAAAGTCTTTATTTGTATTTTATTTGATTATTTTTCCTTACTTTTCGCAACAGCTATTTTCATTGGAGTATGAAAGGTGAGGTTCTGCCTCCCCTGCATCGCCTGACCGCACGTCCCTGGTACAAAGATCCCCCATATAGGCTTAACAGACTGTTGGGGCAAGTGCTGTTTAAGAGCACCTTTGAAGGCCGGATCGGTACACGAGGGGGTGGGTTGGCCAGAACCACGCCCGACCACCTTTGTCGCCCCGGTGGCATTGTTTATACATCGCACCAGGTACTCATTTCAGGCAGAGTTGAGTCGCCATAGGGGAGGCCCAGGACGGGTTCAGATAGTCGTCGCTGGTGTTGGCCGTGAGCAAGAATCTAACTCTAGTAACCGGGTAGGTAGCACAGTACTAAACACGGCGCCAGGTGTATGCATAGACCCACACAAAGACACAAACAAAGACAAACCAATATGTTTTAGGGCAAGTGCTGTTCACGGCAACGGCACATGATGGGGTGGATGGCCAACACCACGCCCTGCCGCCTTTGTTTCACTTAGTGGCGATGTTTACACAGCACCGGGTGCTCATTTGAGGCTGAGTCGACCTATACGGATGTAGTGACTGTGATTGTCACTGTGTGGTGCCTGGCTTACGAAGCCATGGCGGATAATTTGTTGGCATTATGTGTAGCCCGCTTACTGTGCGTAGTACCAGCCCTAGCGGGGCTTGTTTGAGGGTCAGCTCGGAGGCACCACGTAGAGTGTGTGGTGTGGGCTCCCGGGGAAGGAGCGAGAGGGAGTGTCAGCCAGCCAGGGTCACGTTGGGGCATGATACGCTGGTTGACCTGCCGACCCTTTACCGGATGATATGGGAGGTGGGCCACCGGTAGATGGGAGCGGCTGGGTGGTCACGTGGTTTAAAATAACTCTCAGGAAGCCTTCAGGAAAGAGCTCGAGAGATCTATAAGGTGGGCGGGGAAAAGGGCGGAGCCAGCTCCAGCCCAGGCCGATATAACGGGAGCCCCGTGAGGGGCTCGGGGTTCTTCGAGTTGCTGGTGATGAAGATCCACGTCGGGTAAAATAAGCCTCTAGCCACGCTTGTTTTCCGGGCCAGGATAGCGACCCGTGTCTAGTTCTGCTGTAGCGTGGCTAGATGAGCATTGAACACCCAAATGCAGGTCGTGTTATGTTATGTTAATTTATTGAATAAATAGTGTTACTCCCAAGACAATGTCTGTGACTCAGACTCACTACACGTACATACCAGGGACGTGCGGTTAAGGCAGGCATGGAATGCACATCCTCACCTGTCATACTCCAATTAAAAGAGATGTTCCGAAAAGTAAAAAATAATCATATTTTTCCACTGATCTATGTTGTCATTTCTGTATGATTCCAATTATGCTTATAGTCAAAATCGCTAAATTTCTGCTGCAAATACAGGGAGAGACGAGAGGCAAGGTAGCGACGAGCTCAATCTCCCCTCTGAATGTGGAAACCATCAGAAACTGGATGGAGCGCAGGCAATAAGCACGTGCCTGTTACTATCTCTCTGTCATGTTTGGTATCACACAGAAATTACATTTATATCACAGATCAGTGGAAAAGTCTTTATTTGTATTTCATTTGATTATTTTCTGTTACTTTTCGTAACAGCTATTTTCATTGGAGTATGACAGGTGAGGCTCTGCCTCCTCTGCCTCCCATGACCGCACGTCCCTGGTACATACACGTGCTCACCGACATTCTTTGATGAACACACGCACACGGCCACTGCATGACTCATCGCCTGCCTGCACCTGAGGTGGGTTTGCGGCGTCAGATGCCTTGCGACGCATCGTAGATATGGGGATCCCCCTATCGACTCCTCTACGGATTCAACCAAACCCTGGCTGATGGAGGTGTTCCAACCCATCATCATCACCACCACCATCATAAACCATCAGCAGCAGCCATTACCAATCCACTGCTGGATGAAGGTCCTCCCAAAGCCATCGCCATCCCTCACGATCCCACCACAATTCTAGCAGGATCTGCAGACCTAGCTGATTTCACCGCTCCATCTCCCAACGGTTGACGACTTCTCGGACACGTTCCATTTCCTTGGGTCCCTGCCACTAAAAAAACTGAAACTGTTTTAGCAGGTAAGGCCGACTAAGCTATATATTCATTTATTTTTTCAGAAGCGACCTGGCCACAAATGACAGCTCAACGACGTTGCTTATCACGTTGAAAATGGAGAGCAGCCATATACTCCTAAACGCGTGTTGATTCTAATTGTGGAGAGAAAAATGGAGGACCCGGAGAAAAAAACACGCGACCACAGGGACAGTGAGAGAGAGAGACACGCAGACTCCCAATATACAGTCGTCAAGTCGGGATCGAACCCACGACATCGTGTATACCAGGCGAGATAGTTAACATGTCGCCACTGTGCCTCTCCCCCCCACAGCGGTCCGTGCTGTCGACTCCTTGCCCCCGTTCAAATTAAGGCTCAAAACCTTATTTTTTGTCCTACCCCTCCGACTGACTTCTCCTGCCTCTCTCTCTCTATCTGCCTTTTGTTTGTGTTACTGCTGCTGTGCTCACACATGCACCATGGATCTTTCGTGTAATAAAATAGCCGGACAATTATCAAAAGGTGGAAAAATTCCGTGCTACGAATAAAATCAAACTCAAACTATGCAAGATGAAGAAGTGTCCAGAGCGTCTGCACAGCGTCTCTACTTGGGAGCGCAGCGACTGCATTTCGATGCGGTACGCATATTTGCGTGTTTGTGTGCGGTGCGAAAGAAGTTCAACATACATTACATTAAATTAAGTAAAAACCTTAGCCCACTGGTCACTGACAAATGCGTACCGTGTTGCTGTATTATCCATTCGGGGTCAGTGGGGATTCAACAGTGGCGTTCCTATCGGTTACCCATCTGCCACGGCCGGCGCATGTCCTCTTACAATTCCATTAATCAAGCACCTCGCGCGAGTTAACTGATTGAGTCCCATGGGGCCAATTTGCGCGCAGGTTTGGGTAAATTATGGGTTTGTGCGTGCGGTCCTTGGAGTATGAGTGCACGGCGCGTGAAGGCGCTAACATATGTCTCCGTGTGAATGTGTGTATGTATATGTATGTACGTGTCTTTGTGTATAAATATCACAACGTACGCCATACGTGTTAGAGTTTATTGGCGTTGCCAGGAGTATCAGCTCAACAACCCAATCCCAACCCTCTCTCGTATATAAATGACTCTCTCTCATCAAGTCTGCACTTATCTTGAAGAAGGCCAGTCAGCCGAAACGTTGAGACCTTGAGTTGTTTTTAGTGGAAGTTGTAATTTGTTTTAAGTACACTTGTATTGCATGTATAAACACCAGCTTGGATTCGTACATACTGTCCACACATCTGCGTACATACACTGTCCACACATCTGCGTACATACACGAAGGCACCTCACACATACGCAAGCATACACAACTTACGACAAATATTCCCCGTATAGACTTAGCAGTCGATTGCGGGCAAGTGCTGTTAGCGAGCACCGATGACGGTGTGGTCAGCACGTAGCGGCCGCCTCCGTCTCTCCCCTGTGCCGATGTTTACACACCGAATGCGGTACTTATTTAAGGCTGAATAAACCTAGAGGGGAGCTTGTGATTAGTTTTTTTTTCAATATCCACTCGCCACTGATGTTGGACCGTGGCCTGGCGATTGAACTCCGCTCACTGGGTTGGAAACGCAGTGCGCTGACCACTGCGCCACCGATCCCCATACGCGCACGGAATACATACACACACTAAAACACGTGCATAGTACATTCGCGGGTATAACGTACATGCATGCATACGTATACACCACACACACACACGTACACTTACGGGTACATACTGTAAAAGTGTTAACGTGCGGACATATATGAACACACAAGCAAATATCCCCCTTTATAGCTTACTTAGACTGTTGGGGCAAGTTCTTAGCGAGCGCCTTTGCACACTCATACACACAAAAGGATACAAAGGCAGAGATCTGTCCGTATAGCCTACATAGACCGCGAGGACTAGTGCTATTTGCGATCGCCTATTCACCCATCCCATTCGCATACTGGACATCGAAAGACAAAGATCGCCCATTTAGCCGACATAGACTGCTGGTCGCGAGCGTTTATACACAGCCAATTCGCACACTCAAACACACTCAAACACACCTACAAAGACACAGATCCCTCGTATAGCCTTAACATACTGTTGGGGCAAGTGCTGTTAGCGAGCACCTATGAAGGCCGGCACAGCACACGAGGAGGTGGGAAAGCACCTCACCCAGCCGCCTTTGTCTTCCTAGTGGCGATGTTTACACACCGCACCAGGTACTCATTTGAGGCTAAATCAACCTAGAGGAGGCCCAGGACCGGTTTAGATAATCGTCACTGGTGTTGACCGTGAGCTGGGTTCGAACTCGGGTGGCCGGGTTCATAGCGCAGCACGCTAACAGTTACGCTACCGCTCCCCACACACGCACCGACACACACACACCTACACACACAGGCATACACGATGTCATCTCACGCCAACACCACCTCGCCAGCGTGCGGGCTCACATTCTACGACTTCAACTGCAGCCGCGCGTCCGTCACATCATCATCGGAGCGCGCTCAAGTGATGTCCCTCCTCCTCTCTATCAGCGCCATCACCATCGCGGGCAACCTCCTCACCATCACGTCCATCCTCTACTTCAGGCAGCTGCAGACTCGCACCAACATCCTGACGCTGTCTCTCGCCGTGGCGGACCTCCTGGTGGGCCTGCTGATCATGCCCTTCAGCGTGATGCGCTCCGTGCACAACTGCTGGTTCTACGGTCGCGTCTTCTGCAGGGTCCACACGTGGCTCGACTACACCTTCTGCACGTCGTCCATCGTCCACCTCAGCTGCATCTCGTTCGACCGCTACGTGGCCATCAGTGACCCGCTGCGCTACGAGCAGCGCGTCACCAGAAGGGCGTGCGTCCGCATGCTCGTGTGCTGCTGGCTCTGCCTGCTGGTCTACGGCCTCGCCTTCATGCTGGAGTGGAACCTGGTCGGCCTGGAGGAGGAGGTGGCGCACATTTGTCCCGACGACTGCCCGGTACTGCTGAACCTGCCGTTCGCGATGGCCAACACGATCTTCGCGTGCATCGTCCCCATGATGCTGATGACGCTGGCCTACGGTAGGATTTATCAACTGGCCAGACAGCAGGCGAGGAAGATCACTTCCGCCGCCGTGGGCTCGAACGCGGACTCCGCTAGGAGTTCGCTGAGACGCGAGCACAGCGCCACCATCACCATGGGCATCATCGTGGGCGTCTTCATCTCGCTCTGGATACCGTACTTCGTGGTGTCGGTCACGGAGCCGATATTCGGCTACCATGCGAGCTCCGTCACGTGGGAGGTCATCAACTGGTTCACGTACATCAACTCGACGGCGAATCCCATCCTGTTCGCCGCCTTCAACAGGCCCTTCCGTAACGCCTTCTACCTCATCCTCTCGGGTCGAATGTTTGCGTCGAGCTGCAGAGGAGTCGATCTGTTCGACGTCCTGCGGGCGCTTGCTAAAGCCCGCGGATAAGTCACTCCTACTGCTGGCGTCGCCGCGAACGGAGCCGGCCACGAGCAAGAGCGACGATTTAATCCGCGCATTTTGCCAGCTTCTGTCCGGGCACGTGAAAGATACCCCGAGCAGGTGGGAGACGCGGAGGAAGGTGGGAGATGCAGAGGAAGGCGGGAGGAAAACTAGAACGAGACGGCATTCAATGAATGTAAGAAGAAACGATGGGGAGGTGGGGTGTGGGGAGGGGGGAGGGCGGGTGGGTATGTGGTTGGGGGGCATTTGGCCAGCATTGGGAAGTGATAATCTCACACCGACACGGCAGGCAATATACACGTGCAAATGCATATTGGCAGAGAGGCTACTACGACGCCTATTGATGTTTTAACACTTTTATTTGGTGATGCTGCCGATGCTGTGTTGGCAGTGGTGCACTGCTAACAACAACACTCAAGACGTTCCTAGTCAATAACACTGTGTATGTGCGTGTCGCCTTAAATGGGGATGAATATAACAGCTGACGTTTCGGGTGCTGGCCCTTTTTCATAGCACCTAAATAGAGAGATCAGTAGAGACACAGAGTGGATGGGGGGGTGGGGGAGGGGGGGACACCGCAATTGTTTACACCATGGGGCCCTGGTGAGAATCAGATTTTAGAAACAATTCCTGATGATCGGTTGTGGCTGCCAATGTTCGTGACCTGGCGGGGAGACGCCGCGACCTCCAAAGTGGCCGATCCGTCATGCGCAGCGTCCTATGCGACCTGAAGCTCAGATCCCTTATTGCATGACCTCAGGGCATCCCCGTTCCACGTTCGTTCCAGCCTCATCCTGTGGAGCGTTGCAATAGCGAGTCAGCGGAGCGGGCGAGCGAGAGGAGTCAGGTCATTCATTCCGGTAGTCAATGTTTGAAAAGTGCATGACGTATCGATTTAAAGCTTTCGTGACTGCAAGGATTCATCTTCTTCGGTTCTTTCGGTAAAGTCACGTAGAATGAGAATGAAATAATAAAATAACACAATAAAATTATCACGACGTTTCGGCCACAACGTAAGCGGCCGTCTTCAGGTGAAAGGAACAGACCTGTCGGGACGACAGAGCTTCAATGAACGATGTTAAGATTCGTAGCGACTTTTAAGCTGGTTGGGAGAAGTGAGGCACCTTGACAAAGAGGTTTAGATATCAAATAGCTGAGGGATTAGCTTGTGACTGGTCACAGAAATGGCTATGTTAAAGTCAAAACCTACACATCCACAGAGGCAACTAGTAATTTAGCATTGAAAAAGCTAAGGGATTAGCTTGTGACTGGTCACAGAAATATATGTTAAAGTAAAGGCGTACACATCCACAGAGGTACCTCGTACATGGACGCCAAAGGGGGCTGCAACAACTCATCTCTCATACAGTAAACCGATGTGAAAAACCTAATTCTAAATTACATCAATATAATAAATGTACTCAATATATTCTTCAATAAGCTGAGCTATTAACATTAACTGGGTATACACTACACTATATAATGAATGCCATATAGTAAACCAATAAAAACTAAAATATAAACTACCTCAATGTTATATCACAATGTTATATGGTGAAAAAACAGGTGGATTCTTACCTTCAACTTCAGCACCACGGACAGCTACGAGCCCCGTTCAGACGGACGAGTCCATCCATGGTCGGAGCGGAGGAGGAAGGAGGGGAGAAACAGCTGCGAGGCGCTGTTATACTCCATGTTATAAACCATACCATTAACCGTGGTGTGAGAGGTATTAAGAGTCAGTGCCAGCGAAAGAGCTGCGGTCTGAAGGTCCTCGTAAAATACAATTAATTAAGAACGGAAATGGTTTAAAACATCTTTCCAATGGTTACTAAGCCAGAATCCATCTTCTCGGTTGAAATTGTCTCTATGTTTGGAGTATAACAGCGCCTCGCAGCTGTTTCTCCCCTCCTTCCTCCTCCGCTCCGACCAAGGATGGACTCGTCCGTCTCAACGGGGCTCGTAGCTGTCTGTGGTGCTGAAGTGCAAGGTAAGAATCTTCCCATTTTTTCACCATATAACATTGTGATATAACATTGAGGTAGTTTATATTCTAGTTTTTATTGGTTTACTATATGACATTCATTATATAGTGTCGTGTATACCCAGTTAATGTTAATAGCTCAGCTTATTGAAGAATATATTGAGTACATTTATTATATTGATGTAATTTAGAATTAGGTTTTTCACATTGGTTTACTGTATGACAGTTGAGTTGTTGCAGCCCCCTTTGGCGTCCATGTACAAGGTGCCTCTGTGGATGTGTAGGCTTGACTTTAACATATTTTTCTGTGACCAGTCACAAGCTAATCCCTTAGCTATTTCAATGCTAAATTACTAGTTGCCTCTGTGGATGTGTAGGTTTTGACTTTAACATAGCCATTTCCGTGACCAGTCACAAGCTAATCCCTCAGATATTTGATATTCAAACCCCCTTTTGTCGAGGGCCTCACTTCTCCCAACCAGCTTAAAGTCGCTACGAATCTTAACAGCGTTCATTGAAGCTCTGTGAATGTGTACGCCTTTACTTTAACATCTATTTTTGTGACCAGTCACAAGCTAATCCATTAGCTATTTCAATGCTAAATTACTAGTTGCCTCTGTGGATGTGTAGGTTTTCACTTTAACATAACCATTTCTGTGACCAGTCACAAGCTAATCCCTCAGCTATTTGATATGTAAACCCCTTTGTCAAGGTGCCTCACTTCTCCCAACCAGCTTAAAAGTCGCTACGAATCTTAACATCGTTCATTGAAGCTCTGTCGTCCCGACAGGTCTGTTCCTTTCACCTGAAGATGGCCGCTTGCGTTGTGGCCGAAACGTCGTGATAATTTTATTGTGTTATTTTATTATTTTATTCTCATTCTACGTGACTTTACCGAAAGAACCAAAGAAGGTGCAGGACGTATTTTAAAGTTTATTTTATTAATGTATTGTTTATAACCACGTGATAATTCAAGAGACCGTGGCAAGGCGAGTGACCAGACTGAGTGAATCACTTCACTTTCCGTGGGTGGGCGTCGAGGAGGTTCCATAAGCCTGCCTCGCCAGGAGAAGGCGGTATAGCAAAGTGTTGACGAATCGCCATCTGTTTCCATTTGTACGGGGATAGAGTGTTGCCCTGTCGTGCAAGTTGTAGATTTCATCTAGGTGCTCCGATTTTCCCCTCCCACTTAAACAATATCCGTCTGAAAATATCTTACGAATAAAACAGCAATGCAGTAGTAGGCTCTCCTGGATAAATAAGTACAATTTCCACAAGTCTCGTTTTGCCGTGGCACAATCACGGCTCCCGTGTCAGGATGGGTGTTGCTGTTCCCATTCGCGACGCGAGCCTCAAAGTCCTGTCGCTCCGCGAGCCCTGGGGGACTTGGGTTTGACGCGGCGCGAAGTAAACCATGGATCGCCTCGGCGACTCTCTCCATACGTGCCCGTAACTCAGACCCGTCGCATCAGCACAGGACTTCAAGTAAGGCTCGTATAACTAAATAACGTTATTTACAAATGACCAACACAATTCGAAAGGCATTCGCCAGTAACGCTGCAATGCGAGGGCAAGCGTACGATATTTATTACAGTTTGACGAACGTGTCGAGATGTTTGTTGTGTGTGATTACGCACCACTCACTGCATCGCAATTTACTACACGTGCACAAAGCCGCTGTTATCCAACTGCAGTCACTGCTGCCTCTAGCGATTTTGAAGCTGATTCAGCCCGTCTGGAAACACGTGTAGCCAGTCTGGGAACAAGTGTAGACAGTCTGGGAACACGTGTAGACAGTCTGGGATCACGTGTAGCCAGTCTGGGAACACGTGTATCCAGTCTGGGAACACGTGTAGCCAGTCTGGGATCACGTGTGGCCAGTCTGGGAACACGTGTGGCCAGTTTGGGAACACGTGTAGCCAGTCTGGGATCACGTGTGGCCAGTCTGGGAACACGTGTAGCCAATCTGGGATCACGTGTAGCCAGTCTGGGAACACGTGCAGGCAGTGGGGTAACACATGTAGGCAGTGTGGGAACATGTGTAGACATTCTGGGATCACGTGTAGCCAGTGTGGGAACACGTGTAGCCAGTCTGGGAACACGTGTAGGCAGTGTGGGAACACGTGTAGCCAGTGTGGGAACACGTGTAGCCAGTGTGGGAACACGTGTAGTCAGTCTGGGAACACGTGTAGCCAATCTGGGAACACGTGTAGGCAGTGTGGGAACATGTGTAGCCAGTCTGGGATCACGTGGAGGCAGTGTGGTAACACGTGTAGGCAGTGTGGGAACATGTGTAGCCAGTGTGGGAACACGTGTAGCCAGTCTGAGAACACGTGTAGCCAGTGTGGGAACACGTGTAGCCAGTCTGGGAACACGTGTAGCCAGTCTGGGAACACGTGTAGGCAGTGTGGGAACATGTGTAGCCAGTCTGGGATCACGTGTAGCCAGTCTGGGATCACGTGTAGCCAGTGTGGGAACAATGTGTAGACATCTTCTTGGTTCTTTCGGTAAAGTCACGTAGAATGAAAATAAAACAATAAAACAAAATGAGACAATAACATTCTCACGACATTTCGGCAAAAACACAAGTAGCCTTCTTCAGGTGAAGGAACAGAACTGTCGGGACGACAGCACTTCAATGAACGCTGCTAAGGTTCGCAGCGTCTTTTAAGCTAGGTGGGAGAAGTAAAGGGCCTTGACAAAGGAGTTTACATATCAAACAGAAAAATTTAGCATTGAAATAGCTGTGATAAAGTGTTGGATCAGCAGGGTGTTAAAGTCAGAAATTAGCATGTAACTGGGAGATTAGCATGATGTTAATGTGAGGGATTAGCATGTGACTGGTTACGGAAATAGCTATGTTAAAGTCAAAGTTTACATATCAACAGAGGCATTTAGTATATGGACGCTAAAGGACTGCAACTACCCAACTATCATACAATAAACCGATGTGAAAAAACTAATATAAACTACATCAATATAATAAATGTACTCAATATAT